AACCCAACAGCTGGCTATGCCGATCCAGTTAGCCTCCAGGTATGCATGGGGCAAGTCCTACCTGTCTGCACAGGCTTGTCATAGGGGTAGGTGACAAGCACAGATCCACCATCCAGGGCGATGGAGAGGCTGAAATCTTGCTTCAGGATCAAGTTCTCCATGATGGCTCTGGTCTCGGGCTCTCGCACCAAGTCTCCAGAAGAGTTGCCTAAAACAAGCAGGGAGAATCAGGAATTGGCAGCAGACTAGCAGGGGCTGGGAACAAAGCTGGCTGCAAGTCTTGGCAACGTGCATCAGGCCACAGCGTGCGGGTGCAGAAGTTGCCTGAGGCACATTGGTATTGACCAAGCAGGTCCCTGTTTCCAAGGCACTCTTTGCCACAGGGGAGGGGAGCTGCTCTTGCAGGACGGAACCGACACTGCCACATGATCCCAGACAACAGACGGCCGGACTTGGCCAGGGAACACAAGCCCTGGCAGGGACACGTGTCACGCTCCAGGGCAGGGGCTGTGGGTGGTTAGGGAGTAGAGAAGACTGAGAGGCAAACTAAGGAAGAGGCTGCAGTCAAGATAGGAAAGGGGACAAGCAAGAAGGAAGGGCAGGGGTGCAGAGGCCCTTCCCTCGGAAGTGGGTAATGCAGGCAATGGGCATGGCCCATGTTAGCCCAAACCTGCTTGGATCTTCCTCCTTCCCTGGGGCACTTGGGTAACAGCCTGAAGCCCTGCTCTGAGACCATCACCATACCCCACCCGCTCAGCATCACCAAGCCCGTGGCGTGCCCAGCCTTGCAACAAGAGGACTGAAGCCAAAGCTAGAGGGGCTGGCAGGGGACACAGCCCCCAGCCCCAGCTCTCAGGGGGGTAAGCGTTCACCAGCTTTACTTGTGAAGTCCGTGTCCAGGTCTTTGCCGTGGATGTTGGTCTGTCCCACCTTCGAGGTGCAGCCCCTCTCCTGAGCAACCTCGCGTCCGTCCGGATTCAGGGAAGGCACGATCACGATCCGTGTCCTGTCAATCAGCTGGGCACAGGAGGAGACCCCACGTTTACACAGGGTGCAGGCCAACACTCCTCCCTCACCTGGGAGTTACTACCCAGCCCAGCTCTTGAAGGCCAGTAGCTGCAGCGGCTGACAGAGTTCCCTGTACACCTGCTCCAACGGCTCTGGGAACTGCTATTTATTTGAGGGCAGGGTAAACTCTGGTCTGTATATCTTTGCCCAAGCCAACATGACAGACGCTACCGAGCTGCTGCCAGTAACCAGCTCCCTCTCAGAATGCGTTCAGTGTCCTGGACTGCACACGAGTCTTCCCCACACCTCTACGGACCAGGCACAAAGAGTTGTGCCCTCTTCTCAGACCCTGTACACTTGCCCCAGCTGGTGCCTATGACCCTGCATTCAGAGGGTGGATCGCCTCCCACGGGCACCCCCGTACAGGCCGCGGCCTGGCAGGTGCTGGAGGGATCACCCACACATGCTCTTTACCTTGGTGATGGCCGCGTTCTTTTTGTAGTTCATGCACAGGAACTCTGCCAGGGCCAAGAGCAGCTCCGTGCCCACTGGCGCATTCCCGTGGATCCCGGCGACGAAGCGGATCTTAGGCTCCTCGGGCTCTGACTGGTTGGGTTTGTTGGAGATTTCGAGGCACCAGATGTGACGGAACTCGACGCTCTGCCCCAAGCTGCCAAGAGATGGGAAAGCACAGTCCACTGTGACACACAAAACTCCTCCCATCTGCTTGCCTCCAGCATGCTCCCTCCTACCTACCGACAGGCTAGCCGTGTGGGAGCAGCCCCCTCTCCAGACTGAGACTAGGCCTCTCACAGCTGCCTTTCCCTGATCATTTAGGCCTCTAGCTAAAAGCTCCAAGGGAGGTCACTTCGGCCAGGCCCAGGCTGGAGGGTGCGGAGGGGAGGGCCTCACTTCCCAAGCCCGCTGCTCGGCTGGAATGCCGCACACGCGACTGGCTTTTGGAAACCTGTTTCTTTGCAAGGTGCCACCCAGCACTGACCTAGTGAGATTTGTGATCTGCGGGTAGTTCAAGTTGAGGCCTCTGAGGAATTCCGACAGGTCTTTGTACGGATGGTATCGATAAGGAGGAGCATCGCCCGAAGAGGCCAGCACAAGGTGCTCTAGGCCGTGCTCAGCAGAGAGATCCTTGATCAGGGTCTCAAACTCCTTTGTTGTGGGATCCCTGGTGTCTGGAGGGTTTATGACCAGGGTCTTCCCTTCCTCCGCTTTGGCGTCCGTTCGCGAGAGAGTGAAGTTGACCTGCACCACACCTTTGCTGCCAACGGTCACCGTCTTTGTAAGTGGGTTGTACCTGCCAAGGCGAGAGGAGACAGGATCAGACGTTCTGTTTAACTGCTGTATCTTCCCCAGACGTAAGCCCATCATCTCCAGTGCCAAACCAGGGGAGAAGCCCAGTAGAGGCAAGCAGGCTCACCAAAGACACTGTGCGACTGTGCGTGGAACAGCACACAGGCACAGGAAGAGGGCTGGGAAGGGCAGCGAGCACCACAGCGTTCCACCGGCAGGTGGCAGCAGCATTACATGACTGCTGCACCCATTGAGCCGCTCAGCCTGGCAGGTGGGGACATCGGACGGCTTCCACCCCCCAGACAGGACTGGATCTTGGCAGACTCGGGAGAGCCAATGAAGCTGCCCATGAGGTGAGCTGCCTCCCAGTGAATGAATGCTCCAGCCCTCAGAGTTATGGGCCTCTTCCCCACTGCAGAGAAAGCTCTGCAGTGCATTTTAGGAGGAAAGCATCCAAAGTACAAGCTGTTAGCTCCCATGGTTTTCAAACTGCCCCTTGCTCACCCTCGGGCTGATGCTGTGATCTTGTAAGTGCCCTGAACCAAGAGGCGCCAGTAGTCTCCATCCCTGCAGGTGGTGACTGGGTGGTCGATGTCAGCAACGCTAATGGTAGCATTGAAGATGCCCCTTCCATCCATGGCATCCAGCACAAATCCGCTAACGCCTTGGTGGACCTAGGGAGAGAAAAGGGCTCCGTCCAGTAACACATCTCTTTCAGCTGAGACTGCTCAGTATTGTGCCACCCAAGTCACGTGAACACACAGCGATGCCCAGGCGCTCTGGATCCCAGAGGGGCAGCCTCTTGGAAGTGCAAAAGGCCTGTAAGTAACAACTCAAACACCTAAGCACAGACCACGCTCAGCTTCCATAAGGATTTCTGCCCAGGTTTTCCCCTCAAAGCCATCCTCCCAGGTGATTTCCCTAGGTGCTGTTGCAACAGCCACCCATCCGGCCCAGCAGCTGTGCAGACTCCAAGCTGCGGAGGACCCCAGGGTAAGCTGCACAAAGAGGAACAGGCTCACTCAGATTCCTTAGCAGGCTCCATGTGACATTTGACAGAGCTGCAGGTGTGTTTTGGGTGGCTGCAGCCTCTCACCTGCTTCATGAACTGAAGCAGAGATCTGCGGTTCTCCTTCCAGTACTTTGGCAGCTCCTCAGCGTTCGGGTACTTCACACAGCCAAGCTCGATGGTCACTTCAAAACAGTTTGTGTGCAGGTAATTCCAGTCCTGCATCCCACCTAGGTCAAGGACAAGAGAAGGATCATTAGAAACTGAAGCTCCCCCCTCAAGGCAGCAAAATACCCAAGAGCAGTTCATCTGCCATCAGGAGGTGACATTTGTTAACTTGCGGTCTTGTAGCAAGTCTTAGGCAGAGTAAGACTCCAGCTCCAGGGAGCTAGTAAGAAAGTGATTCCCAAACATTTTCGTGTTCAGACCTCAAGAAGAATCCCGTATTTTCTAGCATCCAACATGCTCCAGAACAAGACAGGCACTTTCTTTTTGAAAGGCAGAATGAGGAAAGAGAGATTTTTGCTTGAAAAGACTGACAAGTAGCAGTAAGTGACCAAGTAGCAGCGCTGTCATGCTCATGGTGCCATGTCCCATGTCATTTTCACCCCCCCCAGCCCTCCCCACCTTAAAATAAAGAAAATGCTGGCAACATATTTCCTCGCCTGTGCTGCGGACACCAATTTCCAGAAGCCGATTTTTGGAAAAAAAAGATGCATGTTGGATGAAAGAAAATATAGTACTATACCAGGTTTTCCAAGCCCAGGTTCCCAGGGGCCAAAAGCAAACATTGGAGGGCAATAGGGAGGCACATTTTGACTTCACCCCACCAGGAACAACTTCCTCTGAGCACACTGCAGCTTTAGAGGTTTACAGGAGGGGCCAGGTCTGCGCAGCTTGGACTGAGCAGTGAAGAGATCCACGTGGCTCAGGACAGAGCGGTTTCCCTGCCCTGGGCACAGGTGTGAATAAGGTTCTGAAACATCAAGATCCAGCACCTCCCAAGCTGCAGACAAATCCCTTTCCCACATGGCACTTTACACTGGCCCTCTGGGCCAACAAGTCCAGTCCCCTGCAAACACAGGCAATCATGCAGCACAGTCCTGATCATACCCGGATCACGCTCCATCTCGGCCTCACCTGGAACGTTATACCAGTTCGCCCCATTGGTGATGCCATGTGGGAAATACTCGTTGGGGTACATGTTCTTGCAAGGGCTCCCCTGATACATCTGAGCATTTTCCTGAAAGCAAGACAAAAATGGGACCCCTCCATGAGCCCTGGCTCCTGCAGCACACACACACACACACACACGTGGGTACTCTGTGTCCAGGCCAGTACATGACATTTTCAATTAAAACCCTGGATTTGGTTACACACTCATGCCGACTGACATGTAGGAGCACATGCATAGCCACATGCATACAGCACAGAGCCCCGAGCTGATGCCACTTTGTGCAGGCCATCAGGAGACAGAGCAGCGTGTCTGGTGGTAACCCAGCTCTGTCCTGCTGTTTGCTCTTGGGGCCCCATTTGTACTAAGCCCTGCAATCCTTTCGGCCCACGTGTGTAAACGAGCTGGTTTTATGGCTTCTAGGTACATGGACAGAATTCTGCTCCGACAGCACCTGTATAACTGGGGCTGTGCTGGACACTGGCCCATGCAATGGCAGCTCCTGCCAGACAGGTTCTGCCGTAACCTGAGGAGGGACCTGAGCACTCAGGCCTGACATGACCACGAACACTGCCTACACCCACATTTTATCACCCGCACCAGAGGTCTGTGCCAAGCAATCAGTCGGGAGCTGCCTGAGCCTTGCAGGCCGAGTTAACTAGAGCTTTACCCTGGAATAGGAGAGCGCGAGCTGCTGGAACATGGCGTCATCGGGCGACTTGCTGTATATGGCAATTCCTTGTTCGTCATCGTCGAAGGGGTAATTCACCACCAAGGAACCTGCAGGGGAAGCAAGGCTCTGCTCTCATTCTCAGTGCCTTTAATCTCAGGGAGCTTTGTCTAAAAACTGTCAAGGAACAAGTCAGTGCATCTGCAAGGGCTTGGCACCAAGCACAGAACTAATGCAGGGAGGAGGAGGGGAATAACCATGTGGCAACAGTTACTGACCCACCCAAGTGGAAAGTCCCTAGCCTCAGGGACTCGCTGGGAGACCCACTTTTACCCAGAGATGCAAGGAAACTGCATGTGGACCCCAGTGGCTCTTTCAGAGAGAGAAGGCAGCAAAACAAAGTCCAGGGATTTTACAGGGCAAGAGTGGAATTTGATTCTGTTTTGCCCTTGGGCAACTCACGTCCCTTCAGCCTGTAGAATTTTTATAGGTAAGGGTGAAAGAAAAAAATAAAAATCACGCCTCTGGTTTACTTGAGAGTGTCTCACTCAGAAGAGTTGCTTTAAAACTAACAGAGACACTTGATACCAGTGGCTGGGAGGGAAACCCCCCTACCCCAAGGAAGACAGACAACCAGCACGTCCAGACAAGCTGTCAGCGCACCAAAAATGCAACGTGCCAGCCCTTGAGCAATCAGCTGCACGTTCCTACAGCTACAACTCCGGCAGATGAGCCATGCAGGGAATACGCTTAGTGCAACAACTATTCATTGAGATCGCTCTGAAAAGTTACCTAATTCAATTATAGGGAATTCAATAGTGTGATGCTATAATGCTCGAAGTACAATGAAATATCCAGGCCACTGCAGTGCCTGAAAGAGCACACGGGCCTGGAAGATGAAGAATACCGAGCTACCCCAAAAAGTAGGGATTCCACGAACGCTTTGTGGCCATCACTGTATCATCTGGCTGCCTCATCTTTCAACAAATGATAAGTCTGTCACTTCACCAGATGCGGGAGAGGCAAGCAACTTTTTTGCAGCGGTCCCTCCTTAAGACCTTTTAGACAAAAGCCTGGCAAACAGGACAAGGAAACCAATTCCAGAAGTGAGGCCAGATACACAGGGGTGTCTGCCAGCACAGTCCTTCCCCAATTCATGGACCAGAGGCATCACTGGCCCTTCACAACAGGGCCTGCTGGGAGGAGAAGGGCTCACAAGCCCTAGCCTGGGGGAGTTTGCTCACCTCCATGCAGGTTGGCTGACAGCACAAATGGATAAGCCTTTAGCCAGCTCATGACGGCAATAGTCTCTGGCTGCAGAGGGTCTGCCACCTGGACAAACTGGTCTGGGAAGTTTCGGTTCAGGTCGTAGTTGTTGCTGTTGTTTCTGCCGCCAGTGCCTCCTACGTCTCCTGGGTATCAACGGCAACATGTTCAGTCCGCATCCTCTCCCCGTGGCTCCCAACAACGCAAACCCATAGCCGCATGGAGAAAGGAGCTGGCTTCCTGCAGCACTTGCTCCCCGCCCCGAGAGGGAGGCCGTTCTGTGCCCCCAGGTCTTTGGGGGGCATGCTCCGAGGTTCAGACAAGGCCTGTTTCTCTGCTCACACTAGAGCTCTCCGGAGTTGAGTCACTGCAGCATCACGAATAGCCACAGAGCAGCTCCACTGGGAAGCAACCCAGGCAGGTCGAGGTCACACAGCCACAAACCCCGGAGACTGCATCACCCAACTGCTATCATGCCTGGCTTCTGACTGTAGAAACAGCAGCTCCCGGGCAGAGAATGGGCTTGGCTCTGCCCAGCTGCAAGCTCTGAACTTGAAGGGCTCCCCTCAAGGGCTGCTTTGCCCACTCCAGTGTCATGATAAGGGTCTGTGTTATCCCTGGACACACATTTGTCAGCTCTTGCGCTGCAAGGAGCATAGCACTGCCACACTCCCAGCATGAGCTGTGTTTGTGGAACGCCTGGTTTTGGTTTGTTTTTTTTATTTGCTTGCTTTGGGAAAGCTACAGGAACTCGGGGGACTGGAGCAGGGGCAGTTTTCAGGGCAGCTGACCATAGGAGTGCAGCAACAGCCAAGAGCCTGCCCACACTGGCACAACTGACTGCTTATCGCACCAGAGCGCCCAGCCACAGCCAGCTGCCTATCACACAAATGCTCTTCTCAGGCACAAAGGCCAGCGCTACTCAAGTCAGACACCTAGCCCTCCCGGTGAGCCCGCTTTCAAGCCCAGAAACCCAACAGGCCCCTGAGGGCAAGTGGCCCTACCTTCTTGGGACTTCTCATACCCATCAGGGTTCATGGAGGGCATGATGTGGATGCGTGTGTGGAGGACCAGGTCTGTGACCTCAGGGTCGGTGCCGAAGTTCTTGCAGAGGTATTCAATCAGGTTCAGGAGCAGCTCGCGTCCGACCACTTCATTCCCATGCATGTTCCCGATGTATTTGAATTCTGGCTCGCCTGCACAAAACATGGCTGTCTAGTCACCCCCCAGCGCCCAAACAGCCACTGCTTCCTGCTCTGAGAAACACTTGTAAAGCCCACTCCAACCCCTATCGCACCTAGGGTTGCAGATAGGACTCACACCAGCCAGAGCAATTTGCAAGCCAGCTGACAGGGTCCCAGCTGGTTCGCTGGGCTAGTGCCACCGAGGCAGTCCCTCTGCCAACCTGGCTATTCTGCCCTGCAGCCAAGTGCCCAGACACAGAAACTGCCTGCGCGCACCCAGCTCCAGAGGTGCCAGGCACCCCACTGCAGATGACGGCTTACCTGCTTCGTGGATGCCTGGGTTGTCCGATATCTCCATGACATACAGCTCCCTGAACTCCGCCGACTTGCCCACTGAGTAGAGGCGAGTGATGTTGGGGTACTCGTTGGCATACCGCCGCAAGAAGATCTCCATGTCAGGGAAGTGATGGTGGCGGAAATCCACGGGCTGCACTGGCTGGTGCGGAGAGGTTGGGGTCTCTGCCTGCACTGGGCTAGTTGTATTGGTGACCACAGCTGGGGCCGAGGTGGCTGCCAGCTGGGTCGGGTCAGGACCAGGTGACACGACAGTAGGCTGCAGGGAAAAGTCCACCTCCGTACCATCCCCTTCTTTCACTTCGATGTTCTCTATCGTCATTGGCATGTAACTGAGGAGAGAAGAGAACCTGCTTTCAGTAGGAAATTCCCCCATGGCCAGGTGCGGATGCTGTAGTCCATGGCCAGTTCCCCCAGACCCACCTCCTGCCACCACCACTTGGGACTCTGACCAAAGGAGACCCACGCCAGGCAGGGAGTTGGCCGGGTATGTCCCGCCACTACTAGCCTGGACAAGCATCTCTTCCAGGGCTTGGGCTCCTCCTAGCAGCTCTGTTCAGGGCTGGTACCTCGGTCCTTCCCAGGAGCTGCCTTGCCAAGATGCTAAAGGCAGCAGGTTGCATTCATGCTGTCAGAACTGATACAACATAGTACTGACAGGGCTGAAATACTGCTGTGCTTCCTCCCACCCCCCAGTTCTGCCACAAGAGGCCAGTGGGACAAGCAGCCAAACGTGGCACTGTTGGGCCAAGCGGGCTCCACACCCTGAAGATGGGAGTCAGTTCACGCTGCCGCCTAGCCAGTTAAACCTGCTGGAAAAGGCAGCAGAGAACAGCTGCTGCCGAGAGCTTTACCCCGGGGCAGCTGCGGTGACGTTGTAGGTCCCAGGCACGAGCAGCCTGTGGTAGTCGCCAAATCTGCCTGCCGTGATGTTATGAGCAATCCCAGCGACAGCGATGGTTGCGTTATCCAGGCCGGCCCCCGTGGCTGAATCTCTGACAAATCCTTTTACTCCAATGTGAACCTGGGGAAGTAGAAAGGAGGGACCTGGCTGAAGACAGATGCCTGGTGCGAATGGATCCTCCCCAGCCCCAAGGCCGACAAGCACCGAGTAGCCAACTGATGCCACAGTCCAGAGCAGGACTTGACCAGGCTACCCACACAGAGGGGAACTGCAGGATGAAATGCAACAGAGGTCACCCCTGGGGAGCCCCTTCTACGGCATGGCTGCTCTGCTCCATTGGAAAGGGAGAGGAGCTCTTGCAAGCTCTCCATTCCTACCACTGCCAAAGCCTCGCTGGCTAGGCTGCCCCTTTGCAGGGAAGCTACTGCACTGCACATGCACTGCGCTGGCTGCATGGCAGACAGCAGGGTAGGTGTGGGCAGCACCGCAGCCAGGGAGATGCAGCCACCTCCCCTTCCAGCCGGAATCGTCATGAGAACAGCAGCAAGCTGGACCTGAGCCTTCAAAGCCAGCCTCAAGCCCCCAGTGACACTGAGAGGGCAGGACCTGGCTTGGACGATTCATTTATTTACCTCCTTAGGACAGTCCACCTCTCCCACACAGCCCCACAGCTGCAGGGAGCCACCTCAGCTAGCCAGCCCTACTATTACCAGGGAGGGCAGAAATACAAAGCAGCTTCATGGCTGGCAACATCCCTGCTCATTCAGGGTCACCCCCCCACACACACTGAGCAAACTAGGCCACGTGTGCTCGGCACCACGCTGGTCTTGGGCTCTTGGCAGCATGCCCCCTGCCCCAAGGCCCCTGGCTTACCTGCTCGATGAAGGTAAGCAGAGACTCCCGGTTGTTCTCCCACTCCTGCTGCAACTCGGAGGCCGGCGGGTACTTGCAACAAGACAACTCCAGGGTGATCTCGAAGCAGTCGGCCCACACGTAGTTGTAATCCTGCATCCCACCTGTGGAGAGCGAGCGGAGACACCCGCTGAGCAAGTCGGGGAACCCGGCAAGAGCACATTCCCTTCCTGCCCACAAGCCAGTGGCCTCCATGGGGCGGGGGCGGGCAGCGGGTGGCACTCGCGTATCCTTTGCCAAATGGCTTTGGCAGGTAACCAGGGGTCTTGCTGGTCAAGCCACGACCTCCTCTCAGCTACAGCTGCTTTAGACCAATGTCACTGCCTTCCCCCTAACAATTAGCAGCACAACCCCTGGAGATCAATACAAAGTGAATTTTGCCACAAAGATGTTTGCCAGGCTCAGAAAGGCAGGGATGCTGCAACCATCAGATCCCCATGCAAATGGATATGGGCTTAAATCTCACCGCCAGAAAGCCCTTTGTTATGAGACTCACTGGTTTTCAAGCCACCCTTGTTATGTGCAAAGCTTCCCTCTAAGTGGAGTTACTCTGTACAATGCCTGCTTTATCCCTGCCGAAGCAAAAGGCAGCAGTCTTTTCAAGGTGCAGGCTGGAATCATGCTCGAGGCTGGTGCATCAACTGTTCTCAGAAATGCTTCGGGAAGCTCAGGCCCCAGAGACGAGGAGAGCAATGGTGCCTACAGCAGAGAGGCAGAGGAACAGGGGAGGCAGGGACACTGCATGGGCAGACACGTACCTGCCCAGCTTCTAGAGCAGAGCTTTCCAAACTGTGCGCCGCGACACATTAGCGTGTCGGCGGCAGCGGGTAGGTGTGTCACGCGAAATGCAGAAAATTTTGCGGAAGGGCACCGTGGAGCTCCCTTACTCGCGTCTGCTTCCCTTGGCCCCTCCCCCGGAACTGAATTACTGTGTCACGAAATGATGCACGTCTAAAAAGTGTGTCACCAACATGAAAAGTTTGGAAAGCTCTGTTCTAGAGGGACAAGAGGGAAGCAGGCTGGGCACATCAGAGCCCCCTCGAGCACGTGAAAGAGCAGGGACCCCCGGCCACGCTGCTTGGAGTCGTCACCAGCCATGGCAGCACCAGCCCCTCTGCAGCTCAGCACCCCAGACACTGGTTTTCCACCCCAAAGCAATGCCTTGGGAAAGCAGCCTGGACCTTCAGTTCCAGTCTGTGGCAGGGTTGAGGACCAGGCCATTAGATCAGCGTGAACTCTGAGCATCACAGAGCGCAGGGCTGTCTGGACGCAGAGGTTGGCTGAGCGCAGCTTGGCTCAGCCACCATTTCACCTGCCTTTCCAGGGGTGCTGCTGCCACTCTCAGAGCCCGAGAGATCATCCAGCTTCAGTAAGTGCCTCAGTCTCTTCTGCAGGAGGGCTGTTGTGGCCGATTTGTCTGCCACTCTCCAGCAAATCAACTCACCCCTCCGAGAAGGCCAACGCACTGAAGTCAGACCACTGCTGCCCCTCAGACATCAGCACTCAAGGCCTTTGGGGCTCAGACCACATCAATGCAGCCCAGCCCAGGAGCCGTGTTACAGCTCGGAGGACTCCCGAGAGCTTTCAGAGCTTACAGAATGGTCAGGTTCAAGTTCACAGCGAAAGCCACCCTGTGCTGCGCCACCCGGCTGCATCAGACCAGTGAGCAGCTCTAGCAACCTAGTGCTTTCCAAACGGTAGCCATCGCAGACAGAAGGTGCCAGCCTAATTCATCCTCAGCACCCCAGAGTAGGCGCAGGGATCTCGATCTTATGGCTAGATGAAGCACAAGCGGCGAGGTGCCCTGAAGATGTTTAAGGAGCCAATCAGCTTCCAGGTGGCCCAAAACTTAAAAGCCGGGTCTTGCAAGAAGAGACCAGCATAGAGTTACTTCCACCAGTCTCCATTTAAGCAAGTGAAAAGCTGATGTACCAAACTGATGCTCTGTGATGGCACCAAGGGAAACCCTAAAGGCACAGCGTGGTGCACAACACACAGGTGCCCGCATGGCCCGGCCGGGCTGGACATAGAGCAAACAGGCTGGAGAATTTACTCTGAGGGCAGGGGGTGGTTTTTGAGAGTCAGTCTGACAGCTGGTCTACAAAAGCATTAACTATTTGCCTTTCCACGGTCTCCGAAATAGCCTGCTCTCCCCAGCAAACAGTACGTGGAGCGAAACAACCGGCCAGGCAATGACCAGCTGCTCAGAGCATGCAGTTAATAGGTTTTAAAACATCAGGCAATAAACCAGAGCCGCTGGGAAGCAGGGGCAGCACTTCATCTATCGTTCAGGCACATTTAGGACAGACTCAACTTGAGCTGAGCAGGCAGATCATCACAGTTCCTGTAAAGCAGCCTCTTGCCAAGAGCTTTCCAAGGCTGGCGGGAGAGTTTTAACACACACATGCAGCCCTCTCCCAGGCGTCTAGCAAAGCGGACAGGTTACGTCCATGGCCCGTGGCTTCCTGCACCTCTCTGGACACCATGCCCAACCCCAACGACGAACAAGAGAGCCAGGCTTGCTGAGAGCAGGCACCAGACCACCGCAGCTCACCCGGTGCTTACAGAAGGCCTCTGTGCCTATGTGGCATCAGATGACACCAGCATCAGGAGCACGGAAAGCAAACCAAGAACCGAGAGGCCTGGAACAAAGGACTTTTATTCGCTGGAACTGGTTGAATCCGTTTTGAAACAACACTCAGCACTGAGGGCACCAGTGGGGGAGGCGGGGGCGGGACCCGGCTCAAACAACCTCAGCCGCCAGTTAAGTGCCATCCCGATGCCACAGAGGAGGAAGGCGAAGCAGGGGCGAACAGCTGGATGAAGGTCGCAGCCAAGCCAGGGCCTGGCTCGAACATGGCCAGCCACAAAGTCAAGGCTAAGCCAGGCACACTGTGCCAGCTATTCGGTGGACGAGCTGAGACTGGAGACGGTCTGGAGCTCCTCTGGCATATCCACTCTGTGCACCCCGGCGCCCAGCGGGCTCTAGAGAACCAGGAGGGGTAGGTGGCCTCCGCAGTTCACTCGCCAGCACAGCCTTGCCCCTCAGGAGAGGCCTCAAGAGTGCACCGCAGCCAGAGACCTGCAGCAGCAAGGCACGAGTCCACACCCGTGCCATCCTCAACCTGCCGCTATTCCCCCGGTGAGACCCATGCCTTGGCCTGGCTTAGCATCACATTTGTGCTTTTGGCTTCTATAACAGCCTCTCTGCACCAGAAGAAACACCCGTGAGACCTGCCTCAGGGCGCACTAAGGTGGCAGGGGAACATACCCCTTAGTCCCAACCCTGGCTAGGAATCACCAGTCTCAAATGCTCCCAGTGATTGCAGAGCCCAGAAGGCATCCCGCCTGCCCTGCATGGCACGGAACAAGCAGTGGACGTGATTAAATGGATGGACGGAGAGAGGATCGACTGCTCACGTCCCTGCTGCAAGCTCCAGGCAGCAGCACCAGCCTGGCAGAAGAATGCCTGGGCCCACGAGCCAGCGATCACTGAACCATGGAGGGAGGGGGGGTCACCGCTTCTGGTCCCACCATATACAGGACACAGAGGCTCCCATCATGGGCATTCATCCAACAACTTTTCTCCAGAGTCTTGCAGAGTTGTAACCCTTCTCACCACCACTGCGATGGCAGCTAATCCCACGTGCCCCAGGCAGATCCTAGCCCAGCTCCACCACGACCACTGCTCTCATGGAGGCCTCGCTCCCCTTTGCCCCGCTGTGCTGACAAAGACCAGCCGAGGAAGCAACGCCCCGCGTGCCAGCCATTTCAGGGTGGATACTGTTGTCTGGAGCTCCGCTGCATTCAGCCTGACACAGGATGTGGCTCGTCCTTGCAGTTCAGCCGTGGCTCTCAGATAACCTGATCAGGATGTTATCTAGCGAGCACATGCTTTGCACTCTGAACCAAGCCTCTTCCTGCCTCCCCGCAGCCAACCTCAGAAACGCTCCCGAGCCCGGTTCCAGGAAAGATCCAGACACACGGACCTTAGGACTTTACCAGGAAGAGGAGGAAGGGAGTTATCACTTTAAGAGGGAGCATGGACAGAAAGACCAGAACTGAGACTGTCTGCAGTGAAACACCCATGAATCTCAGCCTCCACTGACCTGGCCCCCAAAGCAGCCACTTACAAGCCCCGGCTATTCCATGAGAACAGGATGTGCGTGGGTCTCAGGGAGAAGAATTTCCAAAGTGCTTCTGCAACTTGCCTTTTTAAACCCCGGACATGTCAAGGGTGAAGTCCTCCCGGAGTGCCCCAACCCACCCCCCACGCAGCAGGCTAGCCACTCCACGACCCTGACTCTGTGCCGAGGTCAAGTAACACAGACCTGGCTTGGAGGGGGCTGAAGAGAAGCAAGGAAGAGCCCCTGTGCACGTGACAGCAGCAGCCCAGGTCAGAGCTGCGTTTATGGAAGGAGCTGCAACACGGAAGTGAAGCTCAGCAGCAGCAGCTCGAAGGCCTGACCTTCAGGACTCCCATGGTGTTGTCTGTGCCACTGAGCCTGGCAGAATTATTTGCAAACCCCAAAGTAAAAGCTAATGGGATCTGGCAACAGGACAAGCCCAAACCGGTGCCTCCAAGACAAAGAATCCCATGGCAGCTTGGCTTCTGGCATGTCTGATTCTGCCACCAGATAAAATGCAGCAGAAACGAACCCGCACACCTGTTGAGACATTGTGTTCTCATTCGTTTTATTTTTTCTGGCTTGCAGTCTTAGGGCCTGACCTCTTTCTTGGCGCACACTGATCCGCAGGCCATTATACACATGCAGCCCTGAACCTTTTGCAGCCTTGTGCTAGAGTCAACGCAACCCGTGTCGAGAGCAGGACCCAGCCCTCTTTGGAAAGCCGAGCCGGGGGCTGTGCCGAGGGCCATCAGCATCCAGGCGCCTGGCTCTGCAGCACTTTGACATCCCAAACCACAGGCGAGGGGCTGCTGTGCCAGGACAGAACCTGGGGGTTTCTGACAGCAGGACAAGCCAGAGGACCTGTAACATGCACGCTTGCGTTTGGTGACTTCAGTGCCTGCGCACGCACCTGGCTTCCCTCCCTCTGCTGCCCTCCACGCCCCATCGCCTGCAGTAAAAACTGATGCACGGGGACTCTCCAACTCCACATTGCAGCTAGTCCCTGCTACAAGCCTTAGTTTCCCTTCCCCGTCCCTCAGCTTCCTTGGATTACATCTCAAATGCCAGCTCCTCATCGTGCGGCCGACTTGCTGGCTGCAAAAGCTCCCAGCCTGCATGGGACTGTTTTAACAGCCACACTATAACTGCGCATGAAGTTGTGTTTATGAGGCAGAAACAGAACATTTGTGCCCTGCTGCCCTTGGGCTGCCGACTCTCACCTGCCCTTGAGGCCAGGAGCCAGTGCCAATGCACCAGGGGAGTCAACAACCCAGCCCCTTGTGTGCACGGTGGCTTCTGTTTTACTAATTTCACTGCCTGTGACTTTCCTCCAGGCACAAGATAACGCCCAAGTCAGTGTTCCCGGCTCCCTGTAGCTGATGGTGTGGGGGAAGCTGGAAGCCGCCTGTGCCTGGGGGCTGGACAGATGTCGGGCCCCAGTGACTGCACTAGCGAGCAGACATTCCTTCACACCTTGTCACCTCCTCCATCAGAAATGACCTACAGAAGCCTCCGCCTCAGCTCACATCTGACAGCAGCAGCTGCTCAAAAGGCTCAAGCTGCTCCTGACAGCTATTGCACCAAGCTCCCAGAGATTACATCCCGAGGGATTTATTTTACCATGCCAGTGTCCGATACAGGAGGCACGTTAGAAGCACCTACTCTGAGGAGGATGCGGGGATGGAGGATTTCAGACCCTGGCCTCCCTTGTGCCATGCTTACTGCAGCACTACATCAACTGTCCCACTGGAAGGACAGAACACGTTACATAGCCAAGAGGCGCCTGACTTGGACGTTTACCCTGGTGGCAGTCCTTTGTGAGGGGGAGCTCCACTCTTCCAGGATATCCTGGTTTACTCATAAGCAGTCATGAGGTTTTCTACAAATCTTTGCTCATACTGGACTGCCCATGCCAGCAGAGCGAACCTTGAGCTGATAAATGCAGCTCCTCCCCGCATGGGCAGGCTTGCCAGGATGCGGTAGAGAAGCAATTATGGAAACCACATCAGACCATGTGTTATTTGAACAGCAAAATCCTCAGCCATGAATCAGTGAATGGGGTGCAACAAAGGCTCCCCCCACCCTCCCGCATATGGAAGAGTGCTGGCAGTGCTCCAATTCCTCCCCAAGAAGGGCTAACGCCCTTCAGTCGCTGTCTAAACCCAGGCTTCAGAAACACAACACCCTCCAGGAATTACTGCTCCAAACCAACCTGGGCCTGCTGCCTGGTTGGAGCTCGCTCTGTAACCCCGGCGTCAGATGCTGAGACTCCAGCCGGCAGCTGGGCTCCACGCGCACCAGTTCCCCTTTCAATTATGCAAATTCTCTTTTGTGGTCACCAGAAAGTGCCCTGTCTGCCAAGTCAACGCAGGCGAGCGTGACCCATCGATGCCTTCTCCCTCAGGATGCTGCCAGCCCCCGGATTTGCAAGCCAGTGTGAGCCAGGGAAACACCCAGAGAGCTGGGCTTCACCGTGACACCACGTCCCCCAAGCAGGGCAAGGGAAAGCTGTCCATTATACTCAGCTACTGGTCTGGGCCCCTTCCCATCAAAAAGCACTGCGTTCACCCTTGTATCAAAGTGGATAGGAGGTCTGCTAGGGACTGAGCTCATTCTTACTATCTGCCCTGACCTGTCTATTTCCTCTGGAAGCCCTAAAAGGGGGCTCTGGTAAGTCAGCCCCAAAGCTCAAGGAAAAAGTGGGAGAACTGAAGTTCTGAACACAAAAGTCAGAAGAATAAAGCGGAGCTGCTGGATGGCGCAGCACTGCAGTTCTACATTCCCCGGGCTTCCTCTGCAAACCCAGCCCTGCAGCCTTGCACTAGCATGCAGGTAAAACTGAATTTTCCACTTTCCCTGGACGTGACGTTTTGGATTTGGTGGTCTGATCTACTTGGCTGGGAAATAAATAAAAGAACACTTCAAGCGGCCCCAAGTATCCGAGCTCCCTGTGCAGAAAGCACCGTCCCTGACACTCCAAAGTGTGCTGAAGAGAAAAGATTTTCCTTTGCACTCAATTAGCTTGGATAGCCGGTTCCCAACATA